TTGAGCACTAAGTGCTCACAGGCATAATCACATTTAATTTTCCTAGCAACTCATGAAGAAATTAACTCTTATAATCCTGACTTTACAGATAAAAAAGCTGAGGCTTAAAGAAAGTGAAGAAATTTGTCTAAGACTACATAGCCAGTAAATGGTTTATGAACTCAAAAATGTCCACACCAAGTGGAAGAAAAGGACACACAACTAAATGCAATACATGGCAGCATGTGGCTACTAAAGCAGAGGCCCGAGCACTGTATAGGAAGGTCATATAATTAAGGCCATCTTCACCTTTAGAAACTAAGTCACCTTGGGAGAGGGACAAAAGACAACTTTCATTGACTCAATCTGTAATGTAAAAGTATTATATGGTATCTAAATTCAGTGTCTGACCCTCAGACAATGACAATAAATTGCATTGTTATCTGGTGAACAAAATCTAAGGACAATGTAACACTAAATATTCAGATAAAAAAGTAATGAAATCTTTGGTTTAATCATGAAGTGAATGAACCAATATATGCAAAAGTGGAGGGGCAGCAGGCTGTATGTCAGAAGTCACCTCAACTACTTTCAGAGATGATGCTCTTCTCCCACCCAAATGAAATACTACCTAGGGGTCAGCAAACTATGGCCCTCAGACTAAATCCAGTCTGTAGCCTGGTTCTGTAAATAAAGTTTTATTGGAACACAGCCACACCCATTCCTGTACAAGGTATTATTTATGGTTGCTTTCACACTACTGGCAGAGTTGACTAGTTAAAACAGAGACTATATTGGCTCCCCAAACCTGAACTATTTACTATCTAACCCTTTTAGAAAAAGTTGCTGACCTCTGAGCTAGTCTAAATAAGCTCTGTTTGATAGCCACATACTGTAAAGATAGAGAACATTCCTATACACAAAGCAAGATAGAAAATCTGTCAGAAAGAAGCTATATATCCTGTTGTCTATAAAAGATACTCATATTTAAACTAGCATAACAATATATGTTTATAGATTGATGGTTTTGTTATATCTCTATTTACTTAACATGATGTGTCTCAGAGAAAATGCTCTCTCTATGAAAGATAAATGTCATTCTTTGTATTTTTTATTATCTCAATCAACTGAGAATAATTTTTAAAAATGAACCCCCAACTTTAGAAATTGTTTGGGTGGTAGACAATAAGAAGAGAAGAAATAAATGATAGAGGAAGAAGGAAGGAAAGCTTTTTATCACATGAAGACCTTTCTTTAGGCTGCTTAGCTCTAGGAAATTGTTTTGGGGTGATGTTTTGTCCCATGGGCAATCCTGGTTCATTTTAAGGACATTTTAAGCATGAAATATAAATCCTATATTGGTAAGAGATCATTCCTATGTTTCAAGGAATCCTCTCTCACTCGAAAGCCCATGGCCAGGGAACCCTGAGAAAAGGCTTGAACACCAGGTTTCTGACACAGAAACTATTGATTTTTAGGTCCCTTCACTGGTTGTGTCCATGGTGGGACAATACATTTTATCATATTTTAAAAGTTGAATTGAAAAAAAAGGACAGAGATAAGAGTTCCATAAACCTTACCCTTGGTTAGTTCTGTTTGTTTCAGGACCCACCTTGATGAGGCTGTCAAGACTTTGGTCCCTTAAAATCATGAAAAAG